TCTCTTTGTCAACTACCTTAAAGAAGCAGTATTCTTTGTGGAGAAAACGGTACCTAATGGATGCCGTCAGTTACTGGAAGGTTCCCACACGATGCCTGCGGCCTGAAGTCTGTAAACAATGGCATGAAGTCGCTGCGCTGTCCTCACACCCCAGTCAGGAGCCTGAGGCATCGGGAGGTCCCGCGTGCTCCCGAGCTCATGGACGGGAGGTGAGGCAGGTGTGGGAAGGTTCCACTTGCAGACCCTCCCTCACCTCGTGCACCACGGTCGCTGTCACACAGGAACACGCTGCATGGCAAGGCAGCACTTGTTTTATTTAAAAATGCAAAAATTTAAACAGAAGGAAAAGAGCAACTGTATTAGGATAATGAAAATATGTGTGGGTAATACCAGGTTATTTCCGCTGTCCACAAACTTTCTGCAGGATTTAGATTTTTAATCCAAAAGCATCTAGGGTAGGGGGGAGAAAAGGTGGGAATAATGAACAAACATTCAAAATATTTTCTGGGGGGGCCACCAATGGTAGAGGTTATGTCGCTAGACACCCACCTGGCTGACCACAGTTCAAGTCCTGGACCTGACGGGTTGAAACTCACACTGGGCTCATGTGTGTGCATGCCCAAGATCCCAGGAAGAGCATGGAGGAGAGGGGGTTGCAGCATGGCCGTCCCTCTTGTGGGGGTATTTCCCTCTCCTTGTCCCTGTCTCTCTCATCTGTGAGTGCACACACCCTTTAAGGCAATAAACTATTTTTTTAAAAATCTGGAACTTTTTGAAAGAATAGAAATAAATCCTAAGTATAAATAATTAGAATATCGTTTCATGTTTTAATATTATGCATTACAATAGTTTGAGAGAAATAATAACCACTCGGGACTTCCTTCAGACAACTGGATAAACGGTCAAACGGCGAATGGTCTTAGTTCTGCCTAGAAATCGGCACGACGATCAGCCACGTGGCAGCATCCGTGTGTCCGCCTTCTGTGGAGCTGACCTTCGTGTCTATTAACCTGAAGGTGCAATGCCCTCGCTGATGACTCATGTATGGCTTTAAGAGTGAGCTTGGGGACACTGGCCGGACACTTAGCCAGGGAGAACCATACTGTAAAAGAGGACAGGCAGCGCCGTGAACTGCCTAGGATGCAGAAAGAGCGGACCATCCTGAGAAAACGAAATGATAACACATTCGACGACATTTAAAAGGAAACTATCTTACGTAAACACAGAATATTTAAAACATGTACGAAAGTAGACCATGGGAATGTAGGGTACCAAGAGACGACAGCAGTGACCGGGGTGGCCTGCGTACTCCGATGAAACGCTTTCCCCATCCAACTTTCTGAGCATGAGATTTTGGTCAAGCTTACAGATTTATGTGTATTTTTACACCTACCGTCGCTTGTATTTAATTGCTTTCTCTAGCTGCCTTTTTGCCAAATCTAATCCAGTCATGGGCAAATAAAGGGGACTTCCCACACCTGCTGCTTCCTCTGTAAGTCAGAAGATTCGACAGTCTATCACACCAGCTCTGCCTCAAAAAAAGCTGTTTTTATGTCTACGGCCCTGGAAAGATGTCTCAAATATTTTAAAAAAGACTGCTAATAAACACATGCAAAATTGAGAGATTTAGG